GTAATGGGTAAATTTTACCCCACCATTTTGTTTGGGTTTTCATGAGCTTTCATATGATACCCATATTGGGGGGATGCGTGCGATAGTCTTGCCAGAAATGCGTGGGTACAACTTTCCAAGGGCGTTTTTACCCCATAGATTTCAATGCCCATAGGGGTTTCTTCAGCCAGATTGGTCATCTGGGCCTGTAGTATCACCATGCCGATTTTGAAGAAAATCGTAGGGGCCGCCCCATTGACCGAAAATTTTCATCTTGGGTAAACTTTACCCTGGATGGGGTAATGGGTAAATTTTACCGCACCATTTTGTTTGGGTTTTCATGAGCTTTCATATGATACCCATATTGGGGGGATGCGTGCGATAGTCTTGCCAGAAATGCGTGGGTAAATCTTTCCAAGGGCGTTTTTACCCCATAGATTTCAATGCCCATAGGGGTTTCTTCGGCCAGATTGGTCATCTGGGCCTGTAGTATCACCATGCCGATTTTGAAGAAAATCGTAGGGGCCGCCCCATTGACCGAAAATTTTCATCCTGGTTAAATCATGCTTTTGGTTAAATTGATCCGGTATTTAACCATATCATTAGGTCCGGGGTGAAGAGATCTTTCAAATGGTGGCCTTATTTTTCAGTTTCGCTCAGCCATTTAGGCGTACAACGGTTTTTAGATTTTTCCCTAGGTTTTTAGATTTTTCCCTAGATTTGGCAGCCCCAATCTGGGCTGGGCCGAATGTGGGCTGAATGTGGGCTAACTTCCGTTACATGTTGCAGACTCGGCTGTAGCATGAAGCATTGTTTAGTTAACGCTGTAAAAACTCCCAAGTACATCAACGCCGTTCATGTTCTGCCTGAAACTAGACCTAACAAAACCAGCCGGAGACCGGCCCTAGTCAATAGGCAGGCCCGGTTGATGTACAATTACATGTAAACGAATGAGTGTAGTCTTTGTTTGATTGTGCCATTACGGACAAAACTGCATTATGTATTTGGACATTAAAAACACGTCCGAATTTAATTATAATTTCCAACTCCTTCTCTCTCATCCTCACATTTTAACACGCGCAGTGGAAGGTGGATTCCGCCCATCCCTCCTGTTTTTCGCCAATAACTCGCGCCGCAAAGTTTTCTTTAGGTTTTCTTCCTAACTTTTCTTTGGAATAAAAAAGCTCTCTGATCACAATGAATATTAACCCGGCAGTTGCTGGGGTATTTCGCCACCCACCGTTTGCTGGGGGGGGGGGGGGGGCGTTAAACGCCCCCAGCCGATAACTCGAGAACCAATAGGCAAAGCGAAACGCACGACGCGGCAAACGAAAGAACGCGACGAGACGCTTCAGATGAGTACTTTAAAGTTGAATTTTGAGGTCACAGGTCGGGTCAAGGTCAGGTCAAACACCTGAAATCGGGCTTTCAGTAGCATGGACTTCAGGACTTCGCAATGGGCGCCTCTCGTAATAAACTCTGTCAAAACGGTGCACAATCCATCATATAAGGCCTACAAGAGTGTCAGCTCCATGTAGGGGTCAGTCAAGCATAGGTCAGGGTCAAGGTTAGGTCAACCCGGTAGGCACATATCCTCGAAAATCAAAACTGATATTCGCAGCCTGTGACACATGTTTTATGGGTAACTTGGGGCGTAGAACACGATGGTGACATTCATTTTATCATATGTGTACGTGTTTGGCTAAAAAAGTTCAATTTAAGAAATGCATGTATCATGGTCGTGAAGTAGTCACGAGAAATTGCCAAGATTCAGTTCAAGATTTTGGAAAATGCGGAACGATAATCAATAATCGAAGATACTAGATAGCCATTTGATTGTTCATGGTCACATCGGGAGAATCATCAGGTCGCTTGGCGTAGGACGAGAGCGTTGGTTTCAGAAGACACTAACGCCTAAGTGTGTGGGATCGAATCCTCGCGACCTCTAACAGTTTTACAGATACAGGCCGGCATAGGGCCAGTCGTTTGTTGACGCTCCAGATAGATCATCTTAAATCCAGCAGCGTCGCTGACGTGGGGGTTGGAAATGTCGCGGGCCTGCACTTCTCAAAATAGAGGTAGGCATAGGCGCGGGAGCCGGGGGGGCAGTGGGGGCAGCTTGCCCCCCCCCCCCAACTCTGGGGCCGTGGGGGCGGTGCCCCCACAGCTTTGAGACGGAATACCACACTTTTTTTGCAAATGTTTTCTTTTTTGTTGAAAAAGCCGAGGGGGTGAAAAATAAGTGGCCTAAAACCGGTGAGAAAACTAGATTTGGGGGTACCCTAGGTTGATCTCTATTATGGTGTGCCCCCCCAGTCGGAACGTAGTTCCCGCGCCCCTGGAGGTAGGTATGGACTTCCCACTGCTGGACTCCTCTGGTCATAATGCTGGACTCCTCGGTCCACTTACACGCTACCAAAACGTATATAATTAGGTACTCGTATCTACAACACACTGCTCAGTCATTTTGTAAAATGGCTAGGTATTTTGTAAAATGCCTAGGCATTTTGCAAAATGACTGGAGAGTCAGTCATTTTGTAAAATGCCTAGGCTTTTTGCAAAAAGCCTGGAAAATCAGGCATTTTGCAAAATGCCTAGGCATTTTACAAAATGACTGATTTTCTAAAGTGCCTGCAACATATATATATGTTACAGGCAAAGTGAAAACCCGGGCATTTTGCAAACTGCCTAGGCATTTTGCAAAATGCCTGACCCGCCAATCATTTTGCAAAATGCCTAGGCAGTTTGCAAACTGCCTGACCCACCAGGCCACCAGTCATTTTGCAAAATGCCTAGGCATTTTACAAAATGCCTGAACCGCCAGGCATTTTGCAAAATGCCTGAGTTTCCATATATTCCACCGTTGTTGTTGACTTCAGGCGTTGCCCATAAACGTTCCACTGGGCCTGAGCCCAAATACAGGGGTGTCACGAATACAGGGTGTCACGAAATTGTTGCGGATATTGTACTTGTGTCCCGAAATTGATTGTTCGTAGTTGCGTCAGTGTTCTCCAGCACCTCGCTGACAAGTTATCAGCGGCCACGTGGTCTGTCCCTGCGTCACATGGTGAAGCTCAAAGAGGCCTATGTAGCCCATCATGCCCCAAACGAGAATCGCCAGTGGATGCTTCACTGTCATCGACGGTGCAGCGCTTCTGAGCTGCCGTTGGCCCAGAACTGGTTGTCTGTCGGGATGGTTAGTGACTTAGAAAAGCTCTAATATCGCCTCATCACTGAAAAAGTCTGAATCTCTGGTCCTGAATGGTCCAGATTTGGTGGGTCTTGGCGAAATCCAGCTGCATCACTTCTGGATGACGGTATAAAGTCAGGGTTGCAACCTGAGGTTTAGCGGCCTCAGCTTCATGGTAAGGTCTTCAGATACCGGGGGATGGCCGATTTAGATGCCGAGCGCCCTGGTCCAGATGCCCTGGTGCCGAACCCGGTAAAATTACACCCATTCAGCACTTAGGAGGGACATGGGAGGGACAACATAACAGACCGGGCCAACCGCGCATCAATTTCGTGATATCTGTAAACTACGTCTTGCGTCAATTCCGTCGAGATGGAACTAGTTACCACTGAATGGACTTGAGCCACCGTCTCCGTACCTTTCGTATATACGGAGTTGACAGTTGTAGCCAAGTGTATAAAAGCTGCGATGTCCAGTATTCTGCTCTAGTGGGCTACTGTTCTGGCAGAGACGATTGATAATGTAAACGTGTAACGATCAAATTTTCGTAATTTGATAGAGTATTCTTTTCTGATCAATATCCACCCACAGTATTTTCAAAAAGTCACCAAGGGCTCTTATAAACAGCGCAATTATTGTACCGAGCGCATGTTTACTAACGAAACCACGCCCGGTGCTCGGCACCCGACGGCCGCTGGGGCTCAGTGACCTGAACTCGGCGGCGCTACCCGGAGAACGCAGTGTCTTCTCACTTGGCGCGCATTGACAGCGATTAACTTTTGTAAGCGCCAGTTACAAATGATGCTTACCTATACCTACATCACCGCTAGTGCGAGTTTGATGTCAGGCATTTTGCAAAAGGCCTGGGAAAATATTTCAGGCAGTTTGCAAAATGCCTGGTGGGTCAGGCAATTTGCAAACTGCCTAGGCATTTTGAAATATGCCTGGCCGGTCAGGCATTTTGCAAATTGCCTAGGCATTTTACAAAATGCCCGAGTTTTCACTTTGCCTGTAACATATATACCGATTTCAGCAGCAATTTTCGGGGTCTTTCGATCTGGCTTAAAATCGGTGTATAGGGTCTCCTCGATGCGCTGATTCCGAAAAGGTACCTCTTTGGGGTGGTATTTTGCATCGTTAACGAGTTAACGGCCAATAAACATTTTAACGGGAAACAGCGGGGTCTTTCGATTTGGCTGAAAATCGGTGTACAGGGCCTTCTCGATGCGCTGATTCCGAAAATGTACCTTTTTGGGGTGGTATTTTGCATCGTTAACGAGTTAACGACCATTTAACATTTTAACGGGAAACGGCGGGGTCTCTCGATTTGGCTGAAAGTCAGCATATAGGGCCTCCTTGATGCGCTGATTCCGAAAATGTACCTCTTTTGGGTGGTATTTTGCACCGTTAACGATTTAACGACCAATTAACATTTTATCGGGAAACGGCGGTGTATCGTGGTGGCTGCTGTGGTCACACCCCGCTCTATAGCCTGGAACCGCCGCTGAGCCGGCGCCGGTATCGTATGCAGTCTGGGCTGTGGCCGCCCGGGCCACCGCCACCCCGCTCGCTGAATACAGTTCTCGGCTGGTACTGGTGGCGTCTGCACCCTGTGGTTCATCAAGCCATAAGCAAGCACACAAACATGGCGCAGCCTGCCTTCTGAACTTGCCGTGCCACTCATCAAGCAAGCATAAGCAAGCGTTAGTGTCTTTTTTGTGAAGCGTGCATCTAATTATTGTGATTTTTATCTGCCGTTATCGAAGACCCAAGCACGCTCACTAGCGTCGGTGGCGTGCTAACCGTAAAAGGAAAGCTGAATGGGACAATCATGTTCAAAAGCAAAGCGGAGTCGGAGGTGTTCTATGTAGTGGACTCAGCAGATAACCTCCTCTCCCGGTCGGCGTGCTCGCGTCTGGGTGTTCTCCAGTTCACAGGAGAGGTGCATGAAGATGTCTTCGGAGAAGCAGGCCTCATGAAGACGGCACCAATCAGCATCCGGCTACGCGAGGATGCCGTCCCGGTCGCTCTCTCCACAGCAAGACACGTCCCCCTGCCGCTGATGAAGCCAGTGGAGGAGGAGCTGAAGATAATGGAAGAGCAGGGCATCATCGTACCGGAGACTGAACCCACAGACTGGGTATCCGCGCTCGTCCCCGTCCCGAAGAACAGTGGTGTCCGGATCACAGTTGACTACAAAAAGCTGAACCAAGCCGTAAAGCGTGAGATCTTCCCGATCCCGACCCTGGAGCACCTGACGTCCAAGCTGGCGGTGCGACACTGTTCTCCAAGCTGGACGCTTCTTCTGGCTTCTACCAGATCCCGTTGGACGAGGCAAGCTCCAAAATGACTACGTTCATCACACCGTTCGGCAGGAAGAGGTTCCTGCGCCTGCCGATGGGAATCTCACTGGCTCCGGAGTGCTTCCAGCGAAAGATGCAAGAGATGCTGGATGGACTGCCTGGAGTCATCGTCTACATGGACGACACGCTGGTTTTTGGAGATGCAAGCAACCATGACGCACGTCTGGAAGCCGTCATCAGAAGAATCCACGAATCTGGCCTCAAGCTGAACAAGACGAAATGTGAGTTCCGAAGGGACGAAGTCAAGTTTCTTGGCATGAAGATAAGCAAGAATGGCATCGGCGTGGACGACGAGAAGCTCGAAGCGATACAGCAGCTCCAGCAGCCAAAGAACGTCACAGAGCTCCGGTCTCTGCTAGGGGTGGTCAACTACCTCTGCAGGTTCGTCCCGCACATCCAGGAGCGCCTAAGGCCCCTCAACGATTTGCTGAAAAAAGACGCTGCGTGGAACTGGACGCCTCAGCAGCAGCAAGCACTGGATGATGTGAAAGCAGCCGTCACGTCCGCTCCAGTCCTGGCGTTCTACGACCCAGTGCGCGAGACAGTGGTCAGCGCAGACGCAAGCAGCTACGGAATCGGAGGATGCATCCTTCAGAAGCATGGTTCCAGCTTCAAGCCCGTCGCATTCTGCAGCAGAAGTCTGACGGACACAGAGACGAGGTGGGCCCAGATTGAAAAGGAACTACTCGCTGCAACTTGGACATGCGAGAAAATGCACATGTTCCTGTCTGGACTGCCGTCGTTCGACCTACAACTGGATCACAAGCCATTGATCCCGCTCATCAACACGAAAAATCTCGTAGATGCCCAATCAGGTGTCAGCGCATGCTCATGCGACTGATGCGTTACAACGCAACAGCGGTGTTCATTCCAGGGAAGCAGCACCTGGTACCTGACTTCCTCTCGCGTCACCCACTCCAGAAGCACGATGCGATCGGCGCTGTGCTACAGGAAGACGTCCACAACTTCTGCAAGAGGGTCTTCGATGACCTGCCCGCCACACCGCAGCGTCTGGTGGAAATCAGCAGGGCACAACAGGCAGATGAACTCCTCCAGCGCGTGGTTCAGCAGACTCTCTCTGGCTGGAAGGAGGGAGCAAAGCACCCCGACATGCTGGACTACTTCGCCGCGCGTGGAGAAATCAGCGTTCTCTACCTGACAAGCGGCACACTGCTCATGTACGGCCGCCGCATCATCATACCGCCTAGTCTGCGTGAAGAGATGCTCAACCGTCTACACGACGACGGTCACTTCGGGCTCAACAAGTGCCGCCAGCGAGCAGCAGAATCCGTCTGGTGGCCCGGCCCAAGATCAGCATCGACTTGAAGCGCCATATCGAGCACTGCGCGTTCTGCCAAGTGCACGCGCCCTCCCAGCACGCTGAGCCACTGGTAACGACTCCAACGCCGTCAAGACCGTGGACTCACATCGCAGCAGATATTTTCCACTTCAACAACAGCAACTGGCTCGTGACTGTGGACCTCTTCAGCAGGTATCTGGAAATCCAACGCTTGCCCAGTCTCACAAGCACCGCAGTCATCGAGCGGCTGAAGCGCCTGTTCTCCAGACTGGGGATACCGGATCTGATGACAACAGACGGAGGAACGCAGTTCACTTCCAGCTCATTCGCCGACTTCGCAGCGTCGTACGGCTTCACACATCGCGTCACTGACCCGCACACGCCATCATCCAACGGAGCAGCTGAACGGGCCGTGAGGACCGCAAAGTGGATACTTCGCCAAAAAGATCCTCACCTCGCTCTCCTGAACTACCGAACAACGGCTGTGGAAGCCACTGGATACTCCCCAGCCCGCCTTCTGATGGGACGTGAGCTTCAGTCCCGTCTCCCCGTCGCTCAGCAGCCCGCCAAGAAGGCATGGCGGCACGCCAAACTCCGCGATGGGCGGAGAAAGAAGAAACAGGAGTCAACCGTCAATCAGAGGCGAGGCGCCCGCAACCTGCCTCCGCTGCAGCCCGGCCCCAGAGTCCGGATCAAGACAGAAAAGGGCAGCTGGTCGGAGCCCGCCATCGTCACGCAAAGGCTCTCCAGACGCAGCTATCTGGTGGAGCTGGGCGGCTGCCAATATCGCCGCAACCGACGGCACCTGCTGCTGATCCCTCCTGTTCCGTTACAGGTCCCGGCACAGCACGGAACCGGGCAACGGGCAGCACCAGTGCCACCTCCGGTGGTGCCGCCGACATCCGTGGCAGCACCACGCCCGGTGGTGCCGCCACCACCACCACAGCAGCTTCCGCCAGCTGTGCCGTCGCCTGAGCCGGCGACGTCTCCGCTGGCACCCGCTCCACCATCAGTGCAGCCCGCTGACGACCCCGTACACGTTAGCCCTCGTAAAACTCGCAGCGGTCGGATTTTCGGGGTTTAAGAAAACCAGCTTTGTGCTTGGAGTACAGCTTAGCTTTCTCCAGTAGATCTTATTAGCATACGCGTAAGAGGGGGAGATGTATCGTGGTGGCTGCTGTGGTCACACCCCGCTCTACCAGCATCTGCGATGCTGGGCTCCGCATCGCGGGACCGCAGGTTGTTTGAGCAAACACCTCTGTAAACGCAGCAAAAACGCCCGCCGCCAAACGAGAGGATGAGCCTTGCACGTGCAGACCGGAGTCGGTGTGCTACGGACTGACGTGCACGGCACCCTATTCGCCGGTCTATAGCGGTGTGCCAAATTTGAGTGCAATCGACCCGGCCGTTTTCGAGATCTGGAAGCGACACCCTGCACGCGCGCACGTGCAACCTGGATCCCAATTGTCTTGTGCACGGCTCTCTATTTGCCGGTTTCTAGCGGTGTACCAAATTTAATCTGAATCGGCCCAGCCATTTCCAAGATCTGGAAGCGACCCCTCCACGTGCGCACGTGCAGCTGCACCCCAACCTTGGCACATGGAAATACACACTAACTGACTTGTGCACGGCACCCTACTAACCAGTCTCTAAGTGGTATGCCAAATTTGAGCACAGTCGGCCCGGCCGTTCTCGAGGTCTGGAAGCGTCGTCCTGCACGTGCGCACGTGCATAACGGGTCCCATCTGACTTGTGCACGGCACCCTACTCGCCGATCCCTAACGGTGTGCCAACTTTGATCACAATCGGCCCAGCCGTTCTCGAGATCTGGAAGCGTCACCCTGCCCGTGTGCACGTGCAGCGGCACCCCAACCGTGACACATGGAAATGCATTGCACGGCGGGTGCCTACATCCATGCCAAGTATCAGTGCAATCGGCAAACTAACTACAGAGTTATTAGACTTGTTACTGAACTGACTTCTCATCGTTTTGCACGTGGCACGTGAATTAGGGGTCACCCATACGCATCGAGAATAGCACACTACGTGTAAGAAAGGAAGAAGCTATCCCACACAAAAGACCGCGAGTGAATTGGTCAAGTAGTTGTGCAGATATAAGCTTTGCAAGGCGCCCCCAAGGCGGCCGGATGCTAATATTTAGCAATAATCAGTGTCGCATCCGCACACGGGAGGTATCCCCGTCACCTGTTCGTATACTCTAATGTGGTTGGGTTCAAGTCACAGTCGAGCCCTGATTTTTTACAGCTTTCTTAAAAACGGCACATCGTGCAGTGACGTTCTATACATTGTTGGAAAGAGCATCGAAAGTTGTATATTTTATTAACTTTTCACTTTGATACATCTGCAACGTAAAAAGTTATTAAGCAACAAAGACGCTCCCATTGACTTTCCATGTTAAAAATTTTAAATTTCAAATTAACTTTATAAGAAAAAATGAGTTTTGCCAGCTTAACGAAGCATAACGGCATGTACTATGCTCTTTCGTCTACAAGATATAAGAGTTTGGGCGAAATCTATCTCTAAAATTTTGTACAAAGATCGAATGAAAATGTCTCTGCAAAGTCTCGGCATCGCCGTCCATTGACTTAACATGGGACACAGCAAAATTCCAACTTTGACCTCGTGCAAAGACACGTTCCGAGATTCTGAGGGGTAAACAGCGCACACTGGCGTGTACCCAAACGTGTTTGCCATAAAATGCTGGGAAGAAAACCACCTCTTCCTTGGCTCGTTTTCCCGCCATTCGCGATCGCGCAAAAAGTGTCCAAAACCCCGTTGACTTAACATGGGGAAAATGGAATCGCACGTGCCACGCGCAAAAGACTTCTTAGCGAGTACCGACCGGTGCCATCAGGTAGATCGCCCCCGGGAGCCCATACCCTGAACTTTTTACGGAAATTGAGCGATTCGTCTAGGCCCCCGTCAAGATGTCTCGATTCGCGGCCAACTTTGCAAAACATACCCCGGACAACGACCGCTCCGGTTGTTTTTCAATAGAAAAACACAATTCTAACGAATAGTGTTTGTCTTTTCAAACAACCTGCGGTTACCAGCATCTGCGATGCTGGGCTCCGCATCGCGGGACCGCAGGTTGTTTGAGCAAGCACCTTTGTAAACGCAGCAAAAACGCCCGCCGCCAAACGAGAGGACGAGCCTTGCACGTGCAGACCGGAGTCGGTGTGCTACGGACTGACGTGCACGGCACCCTATTCGCCGGTCTATAGCGGTGTGCAAAATTTTGAGTGCAATCGGCCCGGCCGTTTTCGAGATCTTGAAGCGGCACCCTTCACGTGCGCACGTGCAAGTTGGGTCCCAATTGTGTTGTGCACGGCTTCCTAGTTGCCGGTTTCTAGCGGTGTACCAAATTTGAGCTAAATCGGCCCTGCCGTTTTCAAGATCTGGAAGCGACCCCTACACGTGCGCACGTGCAGCTGCACCCCATCCGTGGCACATGAAAATACATACTAACTGACTTGTTCACAGCACCCTACTACCCAGTCTCTAGTGGTATGCCAAATTTGAGCACAGTCGGTCCAGCCGTTCTTGAGATCTGGAAGCGTCACCCTGCACGTGCGCACGTGCAAGATGGGTCCTAACTGACTTGCGCACGGCACCCTACTAACCGGTCTCTAGCGGTGTACCAAATTTGAACTCAATCGGCCCGGCCGTTCTCGAGATCTGGAAGCGTCACCCTGCACGCGCGCACGTGCAGTTGCACCCCAGCCGTAGCACATGGAAACGCATGGCCCGGTGTATGCCTACAACCATGCCAAGTATCAGCGCAATCGGCAAACTAACTACAGAGTTATTAGACTTGTTACAGAACTGACACCTCTTCGTTTTGCACGTGGCACGTGCATTAGGGGTCACCCATACGCATCGAGAGTAGCACACTCCGTTTGGGAAAGGAAGAAACTATCCCACACAAAAGACCGCGAGTGAATCGGTCCAGTGGTTGCAGAGATATAAGGTTGCGCCCCCCACGGCGGCCGACTGCTAATATTTAGCAATAATCAGTGTCGCATCCGCACACGGGAGGTATCCCCGTCACCTGTTCGTATACTTTAATGTGGTTGGGTTCAAGTCACAGTCGAGTCCTGCTTTTTTACAGCTTTTCTTAAAAACGGCACATCGTGCAGTGACGTTCTATACATTGTTGGAAAGAGCATCGAAAGTTGTATTTTTTATTAACTTTTCACTTTGGTATATCTGCAACGTAAAAAGTTATTAAGCAACAAAGACGCTCCCATTTACTTTCCATGTTAAAAATTTTAATTTTCAAATGAACTTTATAAGAAAAAATGAGTTTTGCCAGCTTAACGAAGCATAACGGCATGTACTATGCTCTTTCCTCTACAAGATATAAGAGTTTGGGCGAAATCTATCTCTAAAATTTTGTACAAAGATCGAATGAAAATGTCTCTGCAAAGTCTCGGCATCGCCGTCCATTGACTTAACATGGGACACAGCAAAATTCCAACTTTGACCTCGTGCAAAGACACGTTCCGAGATTCTGAGGGGTATACAGCGCACACTGGCGTGTACCCAAACGTGTTTGCCATAAAATGCTGGGAAGAAAACCACCTCTTCCTTGGCTCGTTTTCCCGCCATTGGCGATCGCGTAAAAAGTGTCCAAAACCCCGTTGACTTAACATGGGAAAAATGGAATCGCACGTGCCACGCGCAAAAGACTTCTTAGCGAGTAGCGACCGGTGCCATCAGGTAAATCGCCTCCGGGAGCCCATACCCTGAACTTTTTACGGAAATTGAGCGATTCGTCTAGGCCCCCGTCAAGATGTCTCGATTCGCGGCCAACTTTGCAAAACATAGCCCGGAGAACGACCGCTCCGGTTGTTTTTCAATAGAAAAACACAATTCTAACGAATAGTGTTTGTCTTTTCAAACAACCTGCGGTTACTAATCGTCCAATTTTCGACAAAATAACGCACATTCTGCACTTTGTGGCAAAAATGGCGCTTTGAGACAAACGTGGCGCACTGCAACAAACGTGCCGCATTCGTTCATGTCGCTTAACAATTCATCAACCCACCAAATTCTAGTCCAATCGGACTTAAACTGACAAAGTTATGTACAATTGAATATTTCACTATAAAATATATCCGCAACGGAGGTGCCCAAATTTGCACGTGTGCCACGTGATCGCCGGTGGTGTAAGCAGGACTTGTCTCCTCACTGATTGCACCATTTCAGTATTCCTGGCTTGTGCTGTTTTCGTGCTATAAGGCCACAAATCGGCAAACATACGATAATCCGGGAGGTACGCGACTCAAACACGTGGCCACGTGGCACGTGCCGGACCTCTGATAGTTTCACCGTTCACGCCACGTGATGACCCATCGACGTGGCCATCAGCATGTAAAAAATGACCCCGGCCGGTGTCACCGTCCCTGAACAGTGGACGGTTAAACTCGAAAAACGGGAAAATTTAGGGAAATTTCACCTTTCGAATATATAATTTCCCCATAATTTTCAATTTTTCATTTTACAAAAAATCCGAGATAGCAGTTTTTTAGCCCCCTTCATTCAGTGCCTAAACCCGTTTTCAGATCGACCCTATCATAAAAACTGACGGCCTGACGGCTATTTCCCCCACTACTTGCATTTCACAATGCTAGTATATTTAAGCACCAAAATTGACCCCGTGCCACGGCACGTGCAATAGCACGTGCGACACGTGACCACTAGTGCGACAAGCTGGACTCATCTGCTCACCGGCTGCACTGATTTGGTGTCGCTAGTTGAAGTCGTTTCCACGCCATAGGACCCCGAGTAGGCCATGTCGGATTTTCCCGGAGGTTACCCCATCAAACACGTTTGCACGTGGCACGTGCTTTTCAATCGCCCCATATCTGACCCATACCATGTGGTAGCCAACACCACGGGGCACAACATATTGGAACATTTTCAAAATCTAACGTGGAAATTTTTTGCAA